TTATTTATTTATTTATTTATTTTTATTTTTTTTAAAAAGATGACCGGTAAGGGGATCTTAACCCTTGACTTGGTGTTGTCAGCACCACGCTCACCCAGTGAGCTAACCGGCCATCCCTATATGGGATCCGAACCCGTGGCCTTGGTGTTATCAGCACCGCACCCTCCCGAGTGAGCCACGGGCCGGCCTAGGACCCAAACTCTTGACCTTGGTGCTATCAGCACCATGCTCTAATCAAGTGAGCGAACGGGTCTAGCCACTAACAATAATTCCTTGAATTGGTTAAATTTTAAAGTCACTCTGTGACTTTCTTTTCCTCACCATTTCCATAATTGGTGTGTCAGATGTGCTCAATAAATATTTGTTGAATTAAAAGTTGATACGGTTCTCTTAATGGCTTTTTAAAAAAATGCTTTCATTATAGGAAACTTTCACTTCAAAACATTCTAATGTAAAAGGTGCACATTAGGAATAGCTCAACAAAAGAAACCATTGTTAATATTAAAAAGCACAGTTAGCAAAATAAACAAAAACTCAAAATTGCAATTCCCTCCCCAAAGAAGATTTTTAAAAAATAAACACTGACACAATGAGCACCTCAAAACAGAAAAGCACTATCCCCTCCATTTCTGAAAATAACTTACCTTTTTGCACCTTCCTTTTGCAGATTTGAAATCCAGATTCTCACACAATCACTGGCCTTCTCTTCTGTTTGATTCAACAGCATACACACACACTCACTATTAAATACGTCAGAAAGCACGCTGATCTTATACTGTTTTCTATGAAAATAAATGTGCAAAAATTTGTTCTCAAAAATTTTAAAACAAAATGCAAAAAGCTTCGAAATTAAACAATATACAGAGTAACTGTAAAGGCTCCCATCTTTTTCCCCCAAATACCATATTTTAATATGAATTTTATTTATTTTTTTTAAAAGATGACCAGTAAGGGTATCTTAACCCTTGACTTGGTGTTGTCAGCACCACGCTCTCCCAAGTGAGCCAGCCATCCCTACATAGAGATCCGAACCCGCGGCCTTGTTGTTATCAGCACCATACTCTTCCAAATGAGCCACAGGCCAGCCCTTAATGTGAATTTTAAACGGATTTTAATGATTCCTAAGTCTAAATGGGAGGGCTAGAAGTTAAAAGTAAAACATACTAATATGCCATTTCCAAACAGGTGAGATACCATATGTGTGCTGTTGGAGGAAACAGAACCAAGAGCCGTGAATGTGAGTCTCTGCACTTCATATCTGCAAAAGAAGAGAATAAAAACGTTAACTTAACTCTAGATTTAGAACAGATTATCTTCTTCACCTGTTTAAAGCAGTGGCCATAAAAATTTTAAATCAAATCAAAAGATGAAAATATGGTTTGTAGGTGAACTCAACCTTGTCCTTAATACTTACTTAAATTGTATCTACAGTATTAGAAATCATTTGAACACTTTTATGCCACACCACCTCGACATTAAGGATTTTTTAAAAATAGTAATACATATCCGATCTCTTTAGACTTTTCTTAAAACTGTCATTAAAATTAGCAAAATATGCTTCCCTACTGAACAATTACCTAAGGAAATTACTTTTAGCAGTAGGAATAACAGTTAAAAGCTTCATTTTAACAAATGCTTTCCCCCTTGTAAGGGGTGACAGGTAACCTTTTGGGAACCCCAGTGCACACACCCCTTTCTCCAGCCCCGTTAACGTTAAAGGTTAATTTGAGGACAGACAAGTGCCTCCTCACAAGCCATCTTCCCCTCCCAGCACCCCATTCTCTGCAAAAATCTATCTGCATTTTGCATTAACCCACCCGTCCCAATGTGGGTGACCTAGGGTCAAGTCGTAGCAGGAGGCCGGGGGTGAGGGATGAGTCCCAGAGCCCATGTGCACCCGCGCGACCCCCACCCGATGGCACAATTGCCCCGCAGGCTCCCACCTGGGGCAGGGACCACCCTATCCCCGTCTTGCGCGCCACGCGCCGCGCAGCACCGGAGGGCGGTGCGGGTTACCGGGCCCCAGGCGCCGATGAGGCGGGAGCTCGGGGTGACGGGGCCACCCGGACTCGCTCCCTCTCTAGGGACCGAGCGGGCCCGGGCGTACAAGGGGCGGGCGCGGTACCTTTTGGACAGATCCATGAGCACCCCGGAGAAGAGCTTCTCCCCGAGGCGGAACGACACGACGAGCGCGTCCTCAATGATGTGGTCCAGCGTGACCCGCACCTCCGAGCCCGGGATCAGTTGCGACACCGCGGAATCCCCGCCCGCCGGCGGCACTAGTGCCGGAGCTGCGGGCTGGGACAGCTGTGTCTCCTCGCGTTCCTCGGGGGCCGGGGGATCCTCGGGCGGCGGTGCAGGAGACAGTGGAAGGTCGGGCCCTCCCTGATCCGCGGCTGCCGCCGGCTCCGCCACCCGAACGGGCGGCTTCTCCTCAGCCTCCAGCTCCGGCCTGGCGGCCTCCGGGCTGCGGGCGAGCTCCCCCGGCGGCGGCGGTGGCGGCGGGAGCGGCGGCTCGTCGGCCTGAGGAGCGCACTGCTGCCCGTCGGCCTCGCCATCCGGCACAGACGCTTCAGTGGCCGTGACCGGGAGGGGGTCGGTGCCGGCCTCGCTGCCGGGGATGGGCTCCATCTCCGGCTCGGCCTCGCCGGCGCCCCCCTCCCCGGGGGACGCTGCAGTCGCTGCCGCCTCTGCAGCCACGGCCGCCATTTTCTCCCTGGCTTCTCCCTCCTCCAACTCGAGCTGCGGCGGCGGCGACAGCGGCAGCGGGAGCGCTGCTTGGCTCCCTAGGCCTTCCCCTCCCTCCCGCGAACAGTTCCGTCCCGCCCTTTCTCTGATGCTCGTTATTGGCACCGCGCCATTGGTTCCGTCCTATACCCCCTCCCGCACTTGTGCTATTCCATTGGCCAGGCGGCAATGTCTATCAATCTAATCAGTCCAGCCCTCTAACACAGAGCAGGAACTTCTCATTGGCCAGATGAGTTGTCAAATGCCGAATCTGAGAGGAGGAATGGGGGGATGGGCTCAAAGAGGGCGGGGGAAGTCACAAAAGCTGAGCCATGTAGTTATCGCCTCTTCCTATTGGCTGAAAGAGGAAATAAAGTTTTATGGTTGGTCTACGCTCCTGCCCGTTATCAATCACGTCTTTGGAGGTGGGAGAAAGGATGGAATCACGTGGCGTGCCAGTTCTTTCAAAGGCGACCGAGGGGAGGAGCAGCGAGGGAATGCAGGAGGGGAACCGTTTCCCAACAATCCCTGCGCAGAGATCCTTAGAATAAATGTTATTTCTAGGCGCGGACCTGCTCGCGGCCGCGTGTGGGCATGACAAGCTTCTTTGGGAAGGACAAGTAAAGTTTGAAAAATAATTCTACAGCCACTTTTTGAGCGCCTACTATGCTAGTCACTGTGCTAGGTGCTGAGGATAGAATAATGTACAAGACATTCCCCATAACCTCATGGCAGCCACTCCAGCCTCCACACAAGGAGTGTTTTCCTTCTCTCCACTTTCTAGGAACACAGCACCTACTTATTTCAAAGAGGGAAAATGCTAATGAAAGAGAAGAGACACCACGCACACTGGATTAAGCTGATGAATGATGCAGAGAACAGTCCTGAGACAGCGGGACTGCTGTGAGAACCCCGCTTGTTCTCGCCACACCCACTGCAAAGTAGACGCACCTGGTTTCGTGCCTAAGCCTGTTTCTTTCCTGTCCTCTTCTATGCTATCGGTACAAAAGGTCTCTCACTCTTTGTTGTCCTGATGCCCACACTTCTCTACTCCTACTTTAAGTTAGATTTTTTAATGTCTGGAAGCATCTGCTGAACTCATTTCTCTCGACACCATGTACCAGGCACTAGTACAAACACTATACTATATCATCTCATTTAGTCTTTACAATAAGGCAAGTACTATTATTTTTTATTTTTTATTTTTTTTAAAGATGACCGGTAAGGGGATGTTGTAGCACCACGCTCTCCCAAGAGAGCCAACCGGCTGTCCCTATATAGGGATCTGAACCCGCGGCCTTGGTGTTATCAGCACCACACTCTCCCAAGTGAGCCACGGGCCGGCCATGCAAGTACTATTATTATACTCATTTTATCGATTAAAAAATTGATGCTCAAAAAGGGTGCCAACGTCATTCAGCTGGTAAGTTGCATAGTCAGAATTCCTTTTTTTTTTTTTTTTTGGTGGCTGGCCAGTGTGGATATCCAAACCCTTGACCTTGATGTTACAACACAGTGCTCTAACCAACTGAGCAAACTGGCTAGTCCCAGATTTCCAGTTTTACATAGAAAACACTGAAAATGGCAATAAGCAAATATCACCAGATGTTCTGCCTATTTTCAGCCAGGTGGCTCTTGGGAAAGGCCAGTAAGAGATCCCAGTCAGGGCAATTTCAGAATCACTTTAAAATGACTGAAGGAAACAAATGTACCAGAAAGTCACTCTATACCAGAGATTTTCCCATAAGTTCACATTTAAAATCCTGTGAGTTAAGGCTTCTCCCTCTTTTACAGATGAGGAAACTGAGCCTTAGCCATGTTAAAGATCTTAATGGTCACACACCTAGCTAGCAGCAGATCTTATCTTACCCAAGTCCTTCCAAGTGCATGACTGTTTCACTCATTCTTTCATTCAATAAATAAAGTAGTTATCTCCAGCACGCTAGATGCCTGTGTAAGCAGACGCAGCTCCTGCCTCACAAGGTTTCACCATGGCACTTTGTCTATAGTTTACCATAATCAATTAATTGAACATAACACTTAGACCCTGAATTCCCACATTGTATAATCTCCCACACAGAAAAATACAGCTCTGGTCCTGGGACCTGATTACCTCTTGCAGTAATTCATAGCAAGATGCTGCAGTGAAGAACTTAAATTTCAAATAACCCTCCTAATTTCATCAAATTTAATTTCCAAGTCACCCTCCTAAACCAACATTTTCATCCTGCAACTCAAGAGCCTCTACTGGCTCCCTATGTTCACATCAAGTGTACCAACTTCTGCTGGCTTTCAAGGCCCTCTCTGTGTTCTCACCTTATCATTCTTTTTTCTGTTTTGTTTTTGTTTTCGACAGCTGGCTGGGTGATGGCTTGCCGGGGAACTGAACCCTTGAACTTGGTGTTAAGAGGCTGCACTCTTACCAACTGAGCAAACTGTCCAGCCAGCACCCTATTTTTCAAGATCTATTCTCCACTACTCTTCAGGCCCCCTGATACTGGGAAGATCTGTTCATGCATCCTTCATCTATTCATTCATTCATTCATTGAACAAATAAATATTGAAGGCCTAGAATGTGTCATTTGCTGAGCTAGGCAGGCAGAAGGCATGCAATAAAGAATGTGAAAGATTTAGTAACTGCCCTCCTGGAGTTTATTTTTCTAGTTGGGGAACTAGATTATAAGCAAATAATGAATAAGCAAGATGAGGGCCGGCCCGTGGCTCACTCGGGAGAGTGCGGTGCTGATAACACCAAGGCCCCGGGTTAGGATCCCATATAGGGATGGCTGGTTGGCTCATTGGGTGAGCGTGGTGCTGACAACACCAAGTCAAGGGTTAAGATCCCCTTACCGGTCATCTTTAAAAAAAAAAATGAATACGCAAGATGATGACAAATTGTGAGCAATGGCATAAGAGAAATAAACAGGGTGAGATGATAAGAGAATAGCTGGGGGAGGGGAGAAGGGCATCTCCTTCAGATAAGGTGGTCAGAAAAGACCTCTCTGAGGACAGGACATTTTAACTAAGATGCAAAGGAAAAGGAACCAGGTATTGGCATTGCTGGATAAACATTTGGATCAAAAGGAACAGCAATTGCTTAAAGTTCTGAGGCAAAAGAGGGAGTTGCTTGTTCCGGAAACAGAGGGAAGACCAGTGTGGCTGAAGAGGAATGAGCAAGAAGACAGTAGGTGAGATGAAGATAGAAAGAAAAATAGGACCCAAATCACGTGTTATGTACTGCAGATACAAAAGCTAGGAGGGGGCTGGCCGGATCCTGCAACTGATTAGAGCTCAGTGTTACAACACCAAGGTCAAGGGTTCAGAAAACAAAACAAGAGCAAGGGATTATGCCCTCAGGAAGCTCCAAATCTAGTAGGGAATTTTGTTCTTACATTTGCTGTTGCATATCCTACTCACCTCTGCATTCACCCTCCTCCTCGCATGGAACGGCATATAGGAGGCCCTTGATATTTGTGTAATAGGTGGCCCTGTGATATCTGTGGCTGGCTAGATGGTTGGATGGATGTATGGATGGAGGGTTGGACGGAGGGTTGATAGATTGGGTGAATAGTTGGAGAATTAGACAGATGATTGAATGGATGGATGGGTGAGTGGCAAAAATAAGAAATCTAGCTCATTGCTCAAACAGATCCTCGCTGTCACAGGCAGACTTTGATCTCAAGGTCTGCAGGGTACTGTAGTTTGGTGGCTAGAAACTCAGAGAGTAACACTAAGGTTAAGGGTTCAAATCCCCATGCTGGCCAGCCACCAAAAACCAACAAAAATAAATAATTAAAATTTTTAAAAAATGAAAATTCAGTAGAAGTGAATAAACCTGTATCTGACCCCCAAGTTGGCTTCTGACTAGCTAAATGATCTGAACATGATCTGAGGCAAGTTGCTTAACCTCTGTTTCCTTATTTAAAAAATATCTTAGTAATAATTACCTACCAATAGTGTTTGTTTGGGCCGGCCCGTGGCTCACTCGGTAGAGTGCGGTGCTGATAACACCAAGGCCACGGGTTCGGATCCTATATAGGGATGGCCGGTTTGCTCACTGGCTGAGCGTGGTGCTGACAACACCAGGCCAAGGGTTGAGATCCCCTTACCGGTCATCCTTTTAAAAAAAAAAAAAAAAAAAATAGGGTTTGTTTGTTTGCTAATTATATAACATACATAAAGGGCTTAACATAGACCCTCAACCGTGGTGCTGACAACACCAGGCCAAGGGTTGAGATCCCCTTACCGGTCATCCTTTTAAAAAAAAAAAAAAAAAAAATAGGGTTTGTTTGTTTGCTAATTATATAACATACATAAAGGGCTTAACATAGACCCTCAACCGTGGTGCTGACAACACCAGGCCAAGGGTTGAGATCCCCTTACCGGTCATCCTTTTAAAAAAAAAAAAAAAAAAAATAGGGTTTGTTTGTTTGCTAATTATATAACATACATAAAGGGCTTAACATAGACCCTCAACCGTGGTGCTGACAACACCAGGCCAAGGGTTGAGATCCCCTTACCGGTCATCCTTTTAAAAAAAAAAAAAAAAAAAATAGGGTTTGTTTGTTTGCTAATTATATAACATACATAAAGGGCTTAACATAGACCCTCAACCGTGGTGCTGACAACACCAGGCCAAGGGTTGAGATCCCCTTACCGGTCATCCTTTTAAAAAAAAAAAAAAAAAAAAAATAGTGTTTGTTTGTTTGCTAATTATATAACATACATAAAGTGCTTAACATAGACCCTCAACCACAGTAAGTATAGCTCAATAACTCTCAGCAACTAGGTCCAGAATCTCAGTTTTATTGTTGCATCTGGGGTTCATCAAACTCGAGGGCCACTGACCCCCAATAACCAAACTTGTGAAAGACTAAGTAAAAAAAATACCAGGGTGTTGGTTCATGGAGAGGGATAGATAATGGCTAAGTATTGCTTAGTGGTTATTTTCTCTGGGAATGGTCTTTGAGGAAATTGAGTTATAGACAGAAGATACATGAGAGTCAACAACTCAGGACAAGGGAACACA